GGGCGCCCAGGGCCACAAGGCCTTTTTCGTTTTTTTAAATCTCCCAAAAGGGCAAAAGGGGTCATTTTGAGTTGTATAAAAAGGTTATGGGGCCAGGCGGGCGCCCAGAGCCGTAAGGCCTTGTTCATTTTTTTAAATCGCCCAAAAGGGCAAAGGGGGTCATTTTGAGTTGTATAAAAACGTTATGGGGTTTATTTTTAACACCCAAAGTGAAGAAAAAAAAAAAAAAAAACTCAATATATGAAAACCCCCAAAGTGAAAAAACTACAGGGCGCCTGAGTTCTAAGCGCCCGCCCAGGGGTTGGGCGCTGAGCCCCAGGCAAGCCGCCTCGGGGCCGCCTAGCGTTTTTTGAAACTTTGCCTAATTGGAATATCAACGATTCTGCTCAAAACACTGCTAGAATCAATTCCTTTTAATTTCTCCCCTGCATTCAATGGTTTTCGGTGAAATCAAACTTGTTGGATCAGAAGCAGCTTCAAGAACGGGATGAGTTCAATGAACGCCGAACCACTATAGGGTAGAAGCTCCCTTGGGTTAGGATCAGTGTATCAAAAAGCGTTAAGCGGGTCCTAGGCGGCCTGGGGGGTCCAGGCCGCCCCGCACCTAGGCGGGCGCCCAGATCTTGGGCAGCTCTCAGTTGAAATTTGAAAAAAAAGTATAAACCATACCAAATTACCAATATAATACCACATTCCAAGTTGAAAAAAAAAAAAGATATCCGTTGAGAAAAAAAGTTTGATAATCTATATTGTTAAAACAGTAAACTGTAAAACCATACAAGTGTAGGTAGGATATAAAAGTCAACACTCAACACAACTGAAATTTAGAAAATATACAGTATAACAAAAGTCAACACTCATGACTTAACACAACATTCAACAAACGCAACCTCATCACCAAGAGGCAAGAGTCTTCAGTCGTCGTCGTCATCAAACATCATCAGAAGGAATATCAATAGGGCAAGCCTCATCATATGCATCAGACTCAAGGGCATCATCATCAGAGTCATCTCCCTCTTCAACTAATGCTTGTCCTCCTCTGTTTCTCCAGAATCTGCCTCTTCCTCCTCATCTTCTTCTACCTTCCTCTTACTAGTCTGTGCAAATGAGGCCCTAAGTCTTGGCTGCTCTACCCTCTTCTTTATGCTTCTTTAAACTCAAATATTGTATAATTTCCTCCTTGATAGCCTCAGGAACATTTTTACAATGGGCAACATCCCCTTTAATATCGGCAAGGTATTTTTTAAACCGGTAAATGCCCCCATTAATATCTTTTCCACAATAATTACATTTAATACAATTTTTATCATTTGGATTCGGGTTATAACCATACTTCCAACCCGGATCACCACTCCGTCTAGAACCTGGATAAGATACTTCCATAGAACAAAGCTTATTTTCATCATTTTCTAGTTCTTTAAAATTCAGAAGATGTCTAATCTCATCCCGAACTACTTCAGGAACCTTTGTACAAGAAGCAACATTACCTCTAACACCAACAAGGTATTTTTTGAATTGGCTAATACCTCTATTGGTATCTTTTTCACAAAAATTACACTTAATACAATTTTTATCATTTCGTTTTGAGTTGTACCCATACTTCCAACCCGGATCACTTTTCTAGGAGTAGCAGAAATAGATCTATGACAAGAATTTTGTTCTTATTTTTGTTTTACATAACTTATAAATTGCTAAATCTCCTCTCTGATAGCTTCAGGAACATTTTTACAAAGGGGTAACATCCCCCTTAATACCGACAAAATGTTTCTTAAACCGGTTTATGCATCCTTTTGTAACTTGTTCACAAAAATTGTATCTAACGCAATTTGTCATTTGGATTGGGGTTGTATCCATATTTTCAACCCGGATCTCCACTCCGACTAACTCCTGAAGAAGACATCTCAAAATAAAACAAGCAATCTAAAAAATGCACTTACTTTGGTTGCTCGAACTCCAAACTTTGAGAAACACTTCGATGATTCGATCCAATGAAATGTACTTTTTTGGAGATTTTTTTCTCTCAAAAAGTTTCTTGTGGGTTTAGGTTTCAAAAAAAACCCATCTTTTTAAACTTTTATATCTTAAAAAAAAAAAATACTTTTCTGCCTCTAGGCAGGGAGCAAGCCCTGGGAGGCTGCTCAGGGACCACTGCCCCGTTTGGCCACCTAGGCAGCCGCCGCCTAGGCGCTGAGCGGTCCATTTTTTTGAACAATGGTTAGGATCGATGCATGTAAATTAACAAGTTAAGGAGCTAGATCCTAAGATACCTGGGATCATGATCCCATATCACTGGGATCAAGGTTTTGACTTGAAGGCATCTAAGCTCAACTATACATCAATGATCGAAAAGTCGCCTGCCAGGTCGCCAAGGCGGACTTTTTCAAAAAAAAACTAGGCATGGATAAGGCAGGCAGTATTAGGCAGAATCCTTTAGGCGCCTAAGGTGCCCGCCTAGGCGATGTAAAAGGCAGGTGCCTAGGCGCCACCTTGAGAGTATACTAATTAATTCGTAATTATTAATTTATTAATTTGTATTTAATAATTTATTGGTAATTATTGATCATTAATTTATCGAAAATGCTTCTTGCATGTGAAAGTAATTATTAATTTATTGGTAAACCAAAAAATTAGTATTAATTCGTAATTATTAATTTATCAAAAATTCTTTTTGCATGTAACATTAATTATTAATTTATTGATAAATCAAAAAATAATATTTATTCATAATTATTAGTTTATCGAAAATGCTTTTTACATGTAACAATAATTATTAATTTGTTGGTAAACAAAAAGATAGTATTAATTCGTAATTATTAATTTTTCAAAAATGCTTTTTGCATGTAACAGTAATTAATTTATTGGTAAACCAAAAGATAGTATTAATTGGTAATTATTAATTTCTCGAAAATGCTCTTTGCATGTAACGGTAATTATTAATTTATTGGTAAACCAAAAGATAATATAATTACAAATTATTAATTTCTCGAAAATGCTTTTTGCATGTGATAGCAATTAATTTTTTGGTAAACCAAAAAAATAGTAATAATTTGTAATTATTATTATATAATGTATACAATAAAATAAGGGGAGGTGTGGGGATCCAACTTAAAAAAAAAAGACAATGAGGGCCGCCTTTGGGTCTGGGCGTCCGCCTAGGCCGCCTTAGCTCCTAGGCAGTCCAGAGCCCTCACCGCTTATGCGACCGTCTACGCCTTCTTGAACATTGCTATACCCTAAAACGAGATCAATTACTAGCTTATGATAAAATTAGGATCGAGCCAATGCCTGCTCAAATCCATTATCATACACCTTCTCTTTTGATTAATGCGATAGTTATAGTACTCCAATTTACTGCAATAATGTAGCTTTATAATAAATTGGCTTACTATGATTTTTTTCTTTTTGAAACTGTTTAACTGTCAATTGCACGAATGCTCCACAGTTTAATATATTGTAAAGAAATTAATATACAATACTAAGGAGAGTAGCAGTAGCTAAATTAATAGTCTAGCTCCTCTCCATGGAGGGATCCTACAAGCATGTAGAACGTGATCCCATTTTATAGGGAGTGCGATGCCTATTTCCCTATATCCAGCTCCCTTTAACATCCCTTACAAGAACCACGGGATTGAGCTCCTAAGGTGCGTACGTGGCCTTACCCCCAAGGTTCCTATAACTATAGGGGAAATTTGAGGGGTTTCATTCATTTTTTATGCCTCTTAGATTTAATATAAAAGAATTATGAAAAGAATCTCCAAATTGACAAATCAAAGCTTTGAATTTCGGTCAATTCTTTCCATGCATGATCCACTATTTTTCTTATTTCTCTCTTACTTTTCAATTACCTTTGATAATATTAGATACATTTTCTTCTTTGTTCAACCCTCTATCATATCCAAGGATGGAAAATTTGCCCACCGAGTGCTGCGAGGCACCTAGGCAGCTAAAGGCTGCGGGCTCATCGCCAGCCCTAGTCAAGAGGGATGGGGGCGCCTAGGCATCCAGGTGCCCGCCTAGGCGGCCAACAAAAATTTAGAAAGAGAGCAGCGTAAATGGTAGTGGCCATTTAACACCCATAATAACAACACTAAGAGGAATATAATTTATAACCATCCTCACTCTTCTTCATTATAATTCTACAAGACAAGCACAAATGTGATTTGACCATGAGGGCCCTTATCAATCTTTTGACTGTCAATTCCTTTATTTGGTTTTTAGTTGTGGCTCCTCTTCCCTATTGAGCCTAATGGACTTGCTTTGAATAGTAATCTCTGCAATATATGATAGATATGGTAATGACTCCATGTCCATTTCTTTCAACTATTTTGCAATTTCAAAATTTTTGTTGCCCTTTCTGCAGCTTTAAAGAACTTTTCAAATTTTCTTACAGAAAGATTTCCTTGAATCTTTTTTAATATTCTTTCTTCAAAATGAGATATTCTCGGAACTTTTTTGTTCATCTTATTTTGCACAATCAGGTTTCCAGTTATTGTACATAGCCCTGAATGATCTATAATTATAGTGCCTAATCCAACTTGATGAACTCCCATCATCTATTTTTACAAAATTTGCAAAAACTAATTCTCTCCCATCTGTAGAGGTACCTCTAGGGCAGATTCTATGAGTTTTCTAGACCCATTCATCATTTCCAGTGTCTCCTTTTGGATAATGGATCCAATTATTCCACACTCCTTTGGTACAAGAATTTATATCTGCCCCAATATCTAAAAACGACCGCCTCTTCCCAATTTTATTTTCCATATATAGCAATTTTAGCTAGGATCAACAAAATAATGTTTGCTCAAATCATCTTTCTTATTGGTAAATGTGGTCCTTTTGCCAATAAGGTCTTAAATATTTTAAAAAAAAAAATGTCTAGAATCTCCTTCTGCAATAACTTTTGAAGCTTTACTTAATAGTTGAGATTTTGGATTCTTCCTCAGGAAAAACCACTGATTCGCCTTCAGAGTCATCAGTAATCATAAAGTTGAAAGATGTACCTTCTTTACTTGTACGCTCATGAGGTATTATGTTGGTCTTATCTGACAAACCTTATGTTGCTTCTTCAACCATATCAGCCCACATCATTTCTGTTTACCAGATAATCTCTTTCTTTGCTCTTCAATGCTTCCATCATCAAGTTTTGGAGCTGCAAGCCAGTTTGTCTTTTTCTTCTTTTATCCGCAATTTCCAACTGATTGTATCAATATCCCAAGGCTTCAGTTTTTGAAGTTTCTGCAAAACTGAGGAAAGCATACCAAATTTTGGAGCTACATATAATTCAGCCAAGGCATAGAAAGCTCCTCCAAAGGTAGCAAAAAACTTCTCCTCCCCGGGATTCTATTTCTGAAACAGTATATGCAACACAAGAGAGTACCCATTCTCGTTATTAATCTTTTAGGCGGAAATATAGCAAGTTGGACATGGTATAATAAGGTCCTGATCTGCTGGGAATGAATTAGCCATATGATGCTTGAGAAATTTTATATTGACCAATGATCTATTGTGACCATGAACATTAAGGCGAGACACTATATGTCCAATTTGGTTAGATACATTCACAAGCCATTCATAAATCATATGGAATAAGATGTGTAGAAAATATTGGAAACAAAGGAATTGAGTGGGATACATAAGCAAAGGAAATGTACTGTAAATTCCCACTAAACTTCTGCAAGTGCAAATAGGAATCCTGAAGAATAAGTCCAGATTACCAAAATATAGTTTTTTATTTGTTGTCCTCGAGGAGAATAAGTGCTATTTTTCATAATGTCAAATGGATGTCAGCATAAGGGGAAATTGAGTGGGATACCAGAAGAAAGGTATGCCCTAATAACGTATCAAGGGAATCTTTCAATGATTTCTTATGGTACACCAAGTCACCAACTGGGATGATCACTTATGTAGTTATTTCCAAAGTACTATTACAGAAAGAGATAAAATCAGAAACACAAAGATGAAATAGTAGCCAATGAGGTGACTACCATAAAATCGTGAAGAATTTATTTAAAAAGCTTATTATTCGAAAACAAATAGAAGTGCCCAACTTCCCAGTATAAGAAAAAGGATTTCTCTTATCTCACAAAGAAGATTATAAGGCTCTTCCAGAAGATTGGGAAGAATAACATTTACTTAGTTTACAATTTCCCTCCCTCCCTCCCTCCCTTCCAAACTATCTGATATATGGTGCAACCATTATTCCATAAACCTGAACCTAAACTGATGTATGGTGCCAACTAACAACCCCTCTGATATATGGTGCCAACATTATTCCTTTAGCCTAAACCTAAACTGATATATGGTGCAAAATAAAAATATCAAATTCTTTTTTTTTGTGTTGGTTATACTTGTTACAAATTCACCATCTCCTTTCTAATATTTCTCCGTGTGACTTTACTTTGTAAATGGTTACTTATTAGGAATCCAATTTATAAGATCTAAGTGGGTAATTTTAACATATAAAGAAAACTAATTTTTTAAAAGGAGGACTCGAGCTTGGACTCCCTAGAGACATAAGCACGAGTCGCCCGGTTCATCTCGGCCAAGTTGGAACAAGATTAATAAAAAATGTCGAAAGCAAGATGAGACTCAGGCAAGTCCCTACTTTTCAAGGGTTTGCAATAGTCCAGAGCCAAGCTGACTTGTCATCACTTGGGATTCGCTCGAGTTAGCTCAATGATTTTTTTAACACTAAACCACGTATTTGTTATAGGATATCGTGGAACTACTGAGGATTTGTTGAGGAATGGCGATGAGCATATTATTGAGTTACCGAGAATTGACCGAGCAAATGCCAATTAATCTCTGAGTTGTTGAGTAGGTAAACTGGGGAGGAAGAGTTGGGGAAGTGTACGGCTACCATGATTGGTCTGTTTATCACATATTTTATCCACTAGCCAAAATCATATTTGACATACTTGGGGATTATTACTTGTTTCTGTAGCTAATTTCTAGCATCACAGATCCTCCACCACACTGTACCAATAGGCCATGATGAAGTTCTTTCAGTTTCCTTATTCCTAGTCCCCATTTCCTCTTCGGCTTGCAAACCACCTCCACATCTCTCCAGCTAGTCCTCCTGCTTCTCAAAGCATGCCACACAGGAATTTTCATATCAGTCTTTCAATATGATTGCAAAAAGAACTTGGCATAGCAAAAGAAACATGCCATAGATGGGTAAATTGGAAAGGATCAATTTGATCAATATAGACCTACCAGCCACTGAGAGGAACTATATTCCCAAGAATCCAATATCCCATTCCCCAACGGTTTCCTTTACACAAAGGGAGGCCAAGATCTTGTTCGGAAGACTTTCAGTTTCACATCCCATACACATTGCCAAGTCCTTCAAGTTTCATCCTAAAGTGCCACCTCCCATTAGCTTGGTCATGGCCACGTTAACCTCTAAAACCCTGAGACCACTTCGAAACACCTTAAGAGAAGTCATAAGTTCCTTATTTCTTCCCTACTAGCATCAGACAACAATGTAGCAAACTCTCATCTACAAGTCTTAAAGTCTTCTCTTCTTTCCTTTTCCCCCCTTTAGGGTGAATGCACTCCTCTTATCATACTGCTAAAGGTTTCTGCGACTATGGCAAACAAAAATGGTCACAAGAGGTCACTCTGCCAGAATCCCCAAGAACTTGGGAAGAATCCCATTGAAAATCCAATCACCAATATTGAGAAACTTGTCGAAGATAAACATCCCCTGGTCCAACCTCTCCAATTTTCACCAATCCCCACAAATCTTAGGTTTACCAAGAAAGGACCAATTGACATGGTCCTATGCCTTCTCAAGGTTGATTTGTATACGACAGGTATGCGTTAACAATGTCTGGAGTTAATGCATTATTGGGATACTAATGCCCCAACCAGTATTTGCCCGTCTTTAACAAACGCAAACTGTTGGGCATATAACCTGTTTGAGAACAAACAACCATTCCCCAACGTTTTCCCATACACAAAGGGAGGCCAAGATCTTGTTCGGAAGACTTTCAATTTCACATCCCATACACATTGCCAAGTCCTTCAAGTTTCATCCTAAAGTGCTACCTCCCATTAGCTTGGTCATGGCCATGTTAACCTCTAAAACCCTGAGACCACTTCGAAACACCTTAAGAGAAGCCATAAGTTGCTTATTTCTTCCCTAGTAGCATTAGACAACAATGTAGCAAATTCTCATCTACAAGTCTTAAAGTCTTCTCTTCTTTCTTTTTCCCCCCTTTGGGTGAATGCACTCCTCTTATCATACTGCTAAAGGTTTCTGTGACCATGCCAAACAAAAATGCCCAAAAGAGGTCACTCTGCCAAAGTCCCCAAGAACTTGGGAAGAATCCCATTGGAAATCCAGTCACGAAATATTGAGAAACTTGTCGAAGATAAACGTCCTCTGTTCCTCTCCAAATGGCCTCCGTAGCCAATCCCCGCTCTCTGATGATATTTGCATAAAGCAATGTCATATATCAATGAGTCTAATTCTTTCTCATCTGTGAAGCGATTTTGGAGATAACTCACTACTGCTCCTTCAGATTGCTCATTCCTTAAATTTTTGATGGGAACATGAATCTTGAAACTCACTTATTTAAATTGAGATTTCCCAATAAGCTTTCCAGCAGAATTTGAAAAACTATGGACAAAGATGTATTTAGCTGCTCCTTCAGTTTGCTCATGCCTTAAAATTTTTTATGGGAACATGAATCTTGAGACTCACTTATTAAAATTGAGATTTCTGCAGCTTGCCAGATCCTTTGCGAACACTATGGATTATCAATGGTGCTACGCCCAGGCTCCGTGTTAACCTGCTGATCACTTACATCACAGGACTCAATCTGCTGCCTGCTCCGATTCTTATTCGCTGTCTCATCTCACTACAGCGACCCTGCCTTCCTCTTGTTGAAAGATGAAACGGAGGACGGGGAAGTCAAGCTACTACTGTCCGGCTTCCTCAACGAAATGTCACCTCCTGAGCCAACGCTTGCTGGAGTCAAAGTCCTACTAAATATAGGAAGAGTAGAAGTGGGTAGTGGCACTGGGTGGACGGTATATGCGCCCTTAAGTGCTATTACTAGCCATTCCGGATGAGCAGTTGATTCAGCAGTCTCTAGCTCCTTGGCTTGATGGCGAAGCAAGGAATGAAGCTAGCTTATCTAGTGAGGCAGGAAGGCTCCTCCAACTACTGCTGCTACTACTGCCTATCTCTTTTTTCTTTCAAGTAAAAGAAGTTAAGTCCTCTCAGTCACCTAGCAGTAACCTTCCTCCACAACCACTACCGAAAGAGAAGGAATTCTCTGTGATCTAAAGCCTTCCACTAGCGCCTTCACCCATAACTAACTAATGACACCTCTCTAACTTCCGGCTTTCAAGAGTTTTGGGCCCGGTGAACAAACATATTCTTTCTACGAATGCTAGCCCAATAAGCTTTGCAGCACAATTTGAAAAACTATGAACAAAGATGCATTTGGTTAATTAACTCAATTCTCACTAGTTTCTTGCCATAATAGGGATCCTTAGCACGACAGTTGCAAAGATCCTTACAAGAACAGATGTCTCCCAAAATTGATTTGATTTGAGTTGCTGAACAACCAGAAAAATAAATGATGTGAACAAGCCCAAAATATGTGAAACTTCTCATTTCCAGTCATTGACCAATACCATCAGAATTAGGGATCAATGTCCTAGAGTTGACGATACAGGACTCTCATATATATTATAATTGAAGGAAACTACATTGAATAAGCTGCTTCATTAATTAAGTTATAAACTCCATCACATCAAAGATAATCTGTTGAAGACTTATGAGGCTTAAAAGACCAATATTGGACCTGAATTAATTGCATGATTAACCCCAAGGGGTGCATACAAGACACTTCACAATGAAATTAACTACGTAAAAAATTTACATATGCAGATGACTCTCCCTCTTAAACTCAATTTAAAAGTTTTTCCAGAAATTAAAGGCGATAATTGTGGGTCGTTGCAGGGTGACAATCTTGGATCAATGGTTTAACGAAAATCATTGATTAATTCTAAAAATATAATGAATCCACCACAGAATAACACTAACATTCCAATGATGAGTAGGATTTGACCAAGTAAATGTTACACCAAGATCTATAGGAGGTTCCAAAGCCCTATATTCTCACATGCCATTATTTATCATGATACGCTATAGCCTACATGACAGTGAACTTTAAAAATTGAGTGCCTCCCTCTTACTCTTATGTGCTTTGATGAAGACCTCAAGATAGATGAAACAGGTAAGTCTTGAGCATTTTAGGAGTACTGGTCTAACTAGTCAGTGGCAAAGAACTTGATTTGGTGTCCAATTCGGTAAGTGTCGAAACCGA